GGCTTTTTTGGCAACACATTCGGTTTCAAATTTGCAGTAATTATGTAGTTGATGTAAATACCTTTTAAATAAAAAATTTTGTTAGAATTATTGAGTTTCTATAGAAATTCATACTTAAGTATACAAACTGTATATAACCGGCAATCTTTGGAAAGGTTTAAGATGTTAAAGTACTTGATGAACAGAGGTTGATTACAAATTGCTATTGAAGGTTTGAGGTTATGTTGTTTGCTTTGGAGTGAAATAACTGTTGTGACCCCCTCCGCTGCCCATTTGTTACATATTATTTAACCTTAAGTCGCTGTCACTACTTTTCTGGATCAATTGCAAAAATGCACATCACCTCCCAGATTTAATGTTTTCAACCCAAACCCATACTGGTTTGTGCCCTGTATGGAGTCTAAAATTGAATTTTAGGTAAGCTCAGCATCCCCCTCCAGTTTGGGCAGTACTACAGCCTTTTTAACACTTGATTCTTGATTTTGGAAAGTATTAACAGCTAACTTGATTATGTATTTAGAAAACCAACAATTCAATGATAAGGATTAGGAATTGCTGCATCTGAGAGGAAGAACCGTCGCCTCCAGGCGAAGCTTCTCACCAGGACTCGAATACATAATCTAAGTCGGCACTTGTGGACTCTTGTAGTGCACAAACCAGTTGGTGCATTTGCCTACGTAAAAACCATGACTATGCTTTGAAAGCGATTCTGAGTCAAGTACTCTGGCACTTACTGAGGATGACCAGCACAGTACAAATCCAATTTCTTGAAAAATTGTAGACATTTGTACTTTTGGTAAATTTGTTTCAACTTTAAATGAGAAGGGAGAGGAGAACAATCCTACTTTGCATTGTACCAAGCAACAGCATGTAGAATTGGTCTCAAACAGTTAAGCCTCAGGTTCAGAATAATTTACCACTAACAATGTTTACAGGCCTCAATTTTCTTGGTGTTCCCAATACACCCAAATTGTGTTTGTATACAGTAATTCAGTACAGATATGATATCTTGTTCATATTATTCCAACACGTATGCTACAGAAGCAGATCTGTATATCATGTATATAGATCATTAGTTATATCAGGATCTAGGCCTGTGACTCCACCTTTTGATTGGGCTCTATCAATTTGAGGTTTCTTAGATACTTCAGTTCAATGCAAATGCTGAATTGTAAAGTGCTGTCAGTCTGTAAAAATAGATTGAATCAGCGATGGGCTGAGTAATTGTTCAGTCACTTCAAAGATGAAGTATTGGAGTCAGCTGCAGACAGTCACAGAACATTGTTTCTGATATCATTGTGAATCACTTACGCCAACTTAGAACAAAATAAAACTAGAACCTTTAGTTCACCTTCTACGTATATAGTAAACGATAACCCCTGACTAAACTAATTGAATCATTTCATTTAATTCGCATTGTAAATCTTGTTCAAGTGACCTCTTCTAGTTTTTACACCCTCTTCCCCTAATACTGCCTGCTTTCCTTGAGGTTATTAGTCATGCTCTATAGGATATAGCATGATGCATGTTGGTTATCTTCTGGGTTTGCATCCCGGTGGTAAATCTTCACTGGGAAATGCTTCATCAGCTGGATTATCGGGCAGGTTAATGAACTTTTTTCCTGTTGCTACTATTTAGGCACCTAATCCATATATTGTTGCATTCTATTTTGTTAACATGGCATGTTCAACAAACTGCAGTTTTCAGAAATTTTGCTGTACACAAGTCAAAGAACTCAAAAGTACTTGGTGGCTAATTGGGAGAGTTTGTAATAGGCAGCAGTCTGGATAATGAGACACCAAGGTAATTTTAGATTTGGGCAAAGAGCGCGTTGTGATGAACAGAAGCCTGAATTCAAGTTCACTTTGCTTCTCCATTCCTCAAAAATACAGGGCCCAATCACTGATTGTACCCAGTAGACATCTGTTTACTCAAAAACTTGTAATTTAACCTGAAACCTTTTCATGTATATGGTTCTGTTAGAACACAAATAGCAACTTAACTATCAAAGGAAACCTACTGAAATGGTTTATTGTGTATGATGAAATGAACGTCTGCGTGTGCATGTGTTTTTTTTTGTTAAAGCAGCATTTGTTGCTTGCCTGGTTTACTATGCTGTTCATAAACTGATCAAGTAGAAACATATTTGATGTATCCAGGAGCTCTATTCGTTCCACGCTGATCCCTGCCTGTTTTATGCCCTTCACTTACGCCCAGCTGTTTTTACACAAGCTCATTTAGTTTTATCTCTACTTGGAGGGGAAAAAGCCCCGTTCTGGAAAACAGTCTATCGGCTCCTTAATGGGCCTAATTCGTTTGGCAGAAATCCATATAGAACTTGCCAAGTTCAATTTCAAATCTGTCATCCCTGGCTGATCTTTGCACCTTCAAAATTGCCCCATCATTCAGTAAGGTCATGGCTGATTTTGCCCCAAGCCTCAACTCCTCTTTTGTGTTAGCTCATCATAGCTGTCAACTCCCTGTTGCTTCAAAAATCTTACCTACCTCCTCTCTAAATACTTACTTTCTTTCCCTCTACCTTCTACAACTGTCTGGGACAAAGAATTCCAAATGTTCACTACCTCCTGAGAAGCTTCTTTGCATCATAGTTTTAAATGCATGCCTCCTTGTTCTATAACAATCCTCCCTCCTAGTTTGAGAAACCCTACTAATGGAAACATCTTCTCAATACGTACCCTGTCAAACATCTTCAGAATCATGTATGCTAGAGAAAGATCACCATTCGTTCTTCTAAACTGTAATGAATAAAAGCCTAATCTGTTTAACTGTATTTGATACGTCAACCCTACCATCCCAGGAATCAGCCCAGCAAATCTATTTTGAACTGCCTCTATGTCAACACATCCATACTTAAGTGGATAGGGTAGACAGGAAGAAACTTCCTCCCTTGATGGAGAGATCAATGACCGGAGGCATAGATTAAAATTAAGGTAAGGGGCAGAACGTTTAGAGATGTGAGAAAAAACTTTTTAACTCACAGGATGGTGGGAATCTGGAACTCCACGACTGTAAGGATGGTAGATGCTGAAATCCTCAACATGTAAGAAATATTTAGATATGCACAAGTGGTTATTTTTGACCAGAGACGCAATGGACTGAAGACTGTAGAACTCTATAGGGACCAAAACTGTACACTCAACTCCACATTCAGTCTCACTAACACCCTAACAGTTTTAAAAAGACTTTCCTGTTTTTAAACTTCAACTCTCTATCAATAAAGGCCGAAATTCCATTTGTCTTCATTGTTTTCTGCACTTCCATGCTAACTTTTTGTGTTCATACACAAGAACATCCTGATCCCTGCACATTTTTTGGGAGTTTTTTCATTTAACAAATAGTTTGTCTTTTGATTCTGAATACCAAAGCATGTGCCCTAGCACTTTCCCACATTAAGCGCCACTTAATTTTTTCCCACTTAACTGGTGGGATCGCAGGTTTGCCATAGTAGTTACAATTATCTTTGTAATTTTAGTCTATGGAGGTGAACAGTACTGGTTGGATTTGAATAAAGTAAGAATTGGATGAGGATTGCTGTGTGATTCTGTTGATAGTCAAATAGCCTGCCACCCTTACTGCAACAACAAATTGGCTGCTAGACTGATATCCTCATGGCAATAATTGCAGACTTCACCAAGAGAGTATGCTATCTCTGTGTCATTAAAGTTAAAGATGACTGACTCTATTCTGAAATTATCCTACATCTTAACTGCATTTGTGATTTGGTAAATGTTATAATTGGGCATTTGGAAAATAGTGTAAATATAAAGCTCAAACAAAAATTGCAAAACAAAGGATCTCATCTAAGATGGTGATGAGAAGAATATTGAAAAAATGAGCATTGACAATGTGGAATGCTTTACCTCAGAGAAGTGGAAGCTGGGTCATTGAATAATTTTAAGACAGGGATAAATGAGTAACAATGGATCCATAGAGTATTAGGGGTGTTGAGGTTGGCTGGCTCGCCGAGCTGGTTTGTTGTTCTGCAGACGTTTCGTTACCGTGCTTGGTTACATCCTCAGTGCAGCCTCTGATGAAGCGTTGGTGTGTTTTCCCGCCTGGTTTTTAAACTCTGGGGTCCGTTGCGATGGATTGCCACACTTCGGGGTTTCCTCCGTCGTGGAATGTATATGGGGTCGAGTTCAATGTGTTTATTAATAGCCTGCTTCATGGAGTGCCATGCTTCCAGGAATTCTCGTGCTTGTCTCTGCCGAGCCTGTCCCAGGATCTCCAAAACGTTAGAGTATTAGGGGTGACCAGGCAATTGGACTTAGGCTGCAATCAGATCAGTCATGATCTTACTGAATAGTGCAGCAAGCTTGAGGGGCCAACTGATGTATTCCTAATTCCTGTGTGCGTATGTGTCATTTTAAAATTTGAAATCCTGTTCTGTACACATTGCAGAAGGTTGCAAGTTTGCTTTGAAGACTCCACTTTATGGTACTGAAGTCATTTGTGGCACCCATATTGTTGTTTGGAATAAGATCAACTGACTTGGCCAAAACCAAATTGTCAAATGCACAATTTCATTTATAAAGTTGGTTAATGTAATAAAATGTCCCAAGTTACATGTCCCACAGAAGAATTATAAAGCAAAATATACTGAGCCAAATTGGGAGATGTTGGGGCAAATGGCCGAAAGTTTGGTAAATACCTTTGAGAAGCATCTTGACGTAGGAGGGAGAGACTGACATTTAGGGAAGGGAATTTCAGAGATTACATCCTTGGCAGCTGAAACCAAAGCTGCAGTTGATGAAGTAATTAAGATTGGGGTTGCTCAAAAGGCCACAGTTAGGGGAATACTGAGATCTGTATTCTGACTCTGAAGGAGTCTTGTACCTTTGTATATTACACAACAACATGCATCTCTTCTGCTTCAGAAGTGTTACTTTTGACTTGATTGACGTGATGAAATCTATATATTTTTAAATTATTAATATTTATAATTCAGTACTAATGAGTCTTGTGTTTCTGTTCTGCAGATTTTTGATGATTATTATCATTTTCGGCATAATGGGGTGACGAAACGATCATTGAATCAACATGCGCATCATCAGAATAAACTGCTACAGGATCCTCAGGTACATTCAGGACCAGGCTTGAATTCAATTTTTCTATCGTTAAATGGACCTCAGCAATCAGAGTAAAAATGGCCATTTCTAACTACCTCGAAAAAATGACTTTTGTTGAAAGATTTTGTTCCTAAGCTACATTAAAAAATAAATAAGTAGTCAGTATGACAAAAGAGGCAGCCTTGGTTTACCAACCCTTGTATTTTCAACTAAGTGAAAGTGAGTAGACGAAGGTAAACAGTAGAGGCATTTTATCTGAATTTGCAAAAGACCATCAATAATCTGCCCCTGACTAGACTAATGAATAAACTCAGCAGATGTACTTAAAAACCCCTGGATTAGACAGATCAATAGTTCAGTTCAGAAGCCTAACTTTTTGTAGTCTTGAACTGAATTTACTAGCTGGAATTTCTAGCCTGGTTTTGGTGTCTGAGACCTGCTAGCTGTAATTCAGAACCTGAAATCTGTTACATAGAAAAACAAAATTCAGCCTGCAAATATACGAGCTGAACCTACTGAGCTTGTTTATTTCCTTTGGGTGGGACCAAGATTGAATGTGCAGACAGGCAAGAAGCTCTGATTCCACTCCCATGCCAATTCCTCAGATTCCATTGAGAAGCAGAAGGGAATCTTGAAACTGCTGTTTTAGTAGCACCAGTTGTCACACATTGAGGCCTTAAGGTGCTGTTGTAGTCTTCAAAGTACATTTCTGTCAACTTGTGTTCTGTTTTTAATAGTACTGGAGTAATTGAGACCATTGAATCTGAATTCTGTTTGTGCATTTAAGCTCCAGATCTAAGCTTTGTGGACTTGTAGCCAACATGTGTGGATTTAACACTTTTTATATTCTGACCTTGGTCTACTTCATGCACAATTTAGTTTGAAATCTTATTTACATACTAAGTTGTTGTGAACCTTCAAAAGAAGTACTGTATTATATTGTATTATGTTCCAGTCCAGTAAATTCTAGTACTCTCTGCTTGGTGGCATTGAAAACAGCCATTTAACCATCTGTATCTTGGGAGTGTTGAGGATATGATGATGGATATTCTCAACAGCATAACTGTCTTCTGTAGACTGTTCTGGGATGTACTATTTTATCCCTTAGAAAGAAATAAGCCCCATTGCAGGTTTAGCCCATGTGTAGTACTTTTTTTTCTTAGAAAAGGTGCTGCACTGAAGATTTATGGAGAATACAATAGTTCTTTTGAAGATAGAAGTAGAGAGGATGTTTCCACTGGCCGGTAAAGCTAGGACAAGAGGGCATAGCCTCAAGGTTAGAGGGAGCAGATATAGGACTGAATTGAAAAGGAACTTCTTCACCCAGAGGGTTGTTAATCTGTGGAATTCCTTGCCCAGTGAAGTAGTTGGCGCTACTTCAGTAAACGTTTTTAAAGATAAGGTAGATTTTTTTTGAACAATAAAGGAATTAAGGGATACGGTGAGAACGCGGGTAGGTGGATCCGAGTCCACGAAAAGATCAGCCATGATCTTATTGAATGGCGGAGCAGGCTCGAAGGGCCGGACGGCCTACTCCTGCTCCTAGTTCTTATGTTCTTGTGTTCACAGCAATTTAGTGTGTAAATAAGATTTTGAGCCCTGCGATATTTAGGCAATAATACTGAAGACCTGTGCCTCAGAATTCGTCATGCCCCTAGCCAAATGCTTTCAGTACAGCGTTAACACCAATATGTACCTAGCAATGTGGAAAATTGCCCAGCTGTGTCCTAAGCATGTAAACATGACAAATTCAACCTAACCAATTATCTCCCTCATCAATTAACTGTTAATGGTCAGCCAAGCAATGGGAAGGGACCTTCGACCGTGCTATCAAGCAAATCAAACTGTGCTGGCAAGACAATAATTGCACTGACACTCCAGCTCTGCCATGATCATCAAGCACCTGATCTCAATCCAGCCTTGCTCAAACATGGACAAAAGAACTGAGGCAAGAGTGACTGCCCTTGGCCTCAAAGCATTTGACTAAGTATGGCTTCGAGGAGCCATAATAAATTTGGAATTGCTGGGGGAAACTGCTGACTGGTTGAAATCCTATCCATCTCAAAGGGAAACGTGTCCTTTCTAGAGGCCAGTAATCTCAGTCCCAGCATGTCGCTACATGAATTCCTCAAAGATGGGGTTCTCAGCTTAACTATCTTCAGCTATTTCATCAATTACCTTCTGGCCATCATAAAATCAGTAGCTGGGGATGTTTGTAAATGATTGCGCAATGTTCAGCATCATTTGCACCTTCACAGATACTGCAGCAGTCTGAAGCAGCAAAAAAACCTGGACAAGGTTCAGGCTTAGACAGACCAGAGACAAGTTTTGCTGATAGGTGCCAGGCAATGATTATCTCCAACAAAAGAGTCTAACCATTAGCCTTTCGATGGTAATACTCTTCAAAGTCAATTAATAACCCAGTATCAGCACGCTGACCAGAAACTGATTTGGAACAGATATATAAATGTGTCTACAAGAGCAGGTCAGAAGCCAGGAATTCTCTTCCTGACTCCTCAAAGTCTTCATTTACAAGGCACAAGTCAGGAATGTGATGGAATACTGTCCATTTGTCTGCATGATTGCAGCTCCATCAACACTCCAGAAACTCTCCACCATCTAGGACAAAGCCCACTTGATTTAGCACACTATCTTCCAACATTTTCTCCCTCTACCACGGATGCACCATGGCAACAGTGCCTGCCATTGACAAGATGCACAGTAGCAACCAAGTTCCTTTGATACCATCTTCCAAACCTACAATCTCCTCCACCAAGAAGGACAAAGGCAACAGATATATGGCAACGCAACCACCTGCAAGTTTCACTTCAAACAACATATTATCCTGACTTGGAAACGTATCACTGTTCTTTAAGTGTTGCTGGGTCAAAATTCTGGAACTCCCTAACCAAAATATGGGTGTACCTGCACCACATGGGCTGAAGTAGTTCAGAAAGGTGATGCTAAAGCACTTTTTTCCAAATAGATGAAATGCTGACATAGCTGGTGATTCCATGTCTTGTAAAAGAACTTCATTAAAAAAAATCCCTCGTCTGAAATAGCCTAGGAAGATTTAGAAGTTGCCGGGTCCAGTTCTTGGTCTCCAATGGGTTAACTGATGTCAGCTGATAGTCGTTTGTACACTCGCTCATTTAGAGGTTAATAGAAAATTGTGAGGCACTCACTGTTACACATCATTTTACTGAATGTGATTCTTCCCTTAAAGGGCTAATCTGTCAACACTTAAAAATCACCACTTGCATGAAGTACCAGAAGGGAACATTTTGAAGTGGTATCCTGGGAAGAGATGGTACTTTGAGAAGCTTCTGTGAATTTTTGCCTTTGTTTTGCATTTTCCAAAAAATTTCCTCGTCTTATAACTTAATTAAACGGGGCGTTTAATAAATCAATAAAGGAAACAGCACGGACTTGGGTTGAACTTTGATTAAGTAACAAAGACATTGGGTTTATTTCCTTTTGGAGTAAACCAACAGGATGCAGCTGGCAGAGGCAAACAATACATAGAAAACATTAAACCTGGGATTTATGAAATATTCCCATGGAAAGAGGCAAGGCATGCCAGTTGCCATTGTCTTTGGTCCACAATTTGTCTGCTTTGATAAATATAAAAGGGGTTTGTGTTTACTGACTATTTTATAACATTCAGTCTTTGCAGCATTGTGTATTCTCCTTTTTAATTAAACCAGGCAGGGGCAGATGAGCTAATTGTCTTCTCCCTCAATTGATACAGCCTGCAGGTGTGCTTGGCATAGGTGCTGGCCCTCTCCCTCTTTCAGTTCTATGTTGAGGTAAAGTGAAACTACAACTCCTTTCCCAGCTGATGAAATGCTGTCTATTTTAGCAGTATGTATGGTGTAAGGACTGCTGAAATATGATCACTGGGGTATTGCAAACAGCTGCTTACAACATGCACATAACTTCCCTGAAAGATCAGGCTGGGGAATTGTTTAATTCCAATTTCTCCAACATGGAGGGTTGCCAACCATTGTGTTCCTAGAAGTTTCAATACTGAACCTCCTCTCTGATAGTCTCTGTTCATCGAATAACTGAAATCACTACAGATAACATTTTTATAATATTTTGAAACTAACATAGAAAAAGACAATTTAACTTTTTTTCCCAATGCCCCTATTCCCAAGTTATTCGCAAGAGTCTTCCAATTCATGGAAACACCAAGATGATCCTGGAGGACTGATGACTGTATGTAAGGTTTAACAGCCTACTGTATTGGATGAAACCTGAGTGAAGTTGGGGCAATTCAATCCCCAAGGAGTTTCTGGAGTAATTTTAGCCCAAGAATAAAAACCGGTGCTCAATGTGCTCTTGAGGCACTTGTATCAAAGCATGAACTTAATGCATAATTATGGTCCTGATTGCTGTCTTAGGATAATTTGAACCTGCTTGGAGGTGCTAAACCAGATTTGCAGATTTGCTACTTGAGTAGAGAAATACAAGTAGAATCCTTGAATCTACCTGAAGGTGTGGAGCCGCCGTCACCTTCTAAGGCAGTCCATTGTTATTCTTGATAATATGATTCTACTCTAATTGAATTGTTTGAGTTGACTGATAAGTACAATGTGTGATCAGGCTCTAACATTTGGGGTTGGGTAGATTGGTTGTTTTGTGCTCCTGCTGATACCTCTATTTCACCTCTGCACCTTGTCAGCAAATCTTGTGTTCAGAGCCTTTTTCTATTTGGTTGGTCATAAGGCAATGCTGCCTGAGATGTGCAACCTCTTTTCAAGACTGTTTTGAGGACACTGATGCATTTCCTGTATCTCAGCGGTCTCCTATTGACGAAGCTAGATGTAGGCCATGAAGTTCATCATTACCTCTTATAGGTAACTTGTCCTTTTATAACACCAATATATTGTATGACCTTCTCAGTAAGCAGTTGCAGGTATTGTGGGGCAATCGGCCCCTTATTGATCAAACATTGAATATCTTTAGAATCCAAGGACGCCACCATTCTCCAAAACCTTGTGTGAAAGACATCACAAGTGGTGAACAGAATTGTAGACACTTTCCTAGATGCCAGTTGAAGCAGTCAGTCATTCCTCATCCCTTTTTGCTGAATTTTTTTGGTCCATATTATGTCAAACTAATAATGAAATAATCTGATTTCTTTGTAAATTTGTATTCCAGCTTGATTATAAAAGTACATCTGAAGGAGACTTCATATCGTTGATACAAATACTTTTATTTTGATTGTGAAATACCAAGTATGGTTTTCACAAACTAAAATCATACATTACATTGCAATGTTCCTAGCCGATTTGACCTTCATCTATTCATGCTAGTAAAGGACTCATTTGTAGACATAACCACCCACTGATATTCCATTTGTAGGAACACTTGGAGCCAAAATAGTTTTGTTTCTTTCCTTGATGATGCCTGAATTAAAAACTGTAATGGGTTACCAAGGTTGGAGATACCATGCATGACCTGGTGCAAATTGGGGAGGAAAAAATAATAATTTCTGAACTAAAACAAGCATGTCTGTAAGAAAGGACAGTTGACACATTTCAGGTTAGACTCTTAGACAGAAATGACAAGTTTGTGATGAGCAATGCTCATGTTCTGTGCATCTAAACTATAATTTCTATTAGCTTTCTAAATTATTGTATGCTGCTAATCAATTTTTTTTTCTGGTAAGGACAAGCAGATGCTCTAAGCAAGCAATAGCTTTGTCACAATTGTTCTTTCAATGAGGATGTCAAAGCTTGTATGCATTCAATCTTCATGCTACTTGTCAAGAGTGGCAGGTGTGTGTGGTTTGGTTAGCTCGGTTGACAAGGCAGCTGGTTTGTGATGCAGAGTGATACCAATAGCACAAGTTCAGTTCCTGCACTAGCTGAGGTTAACATGAAGGTCCCACCTTCTCAACCTCGTCCCTCTGACTGGTAATTCTCAGGTTAAACTCCATGACCAGTCATCTCTCTCTAATGAGAGAACAGCCTATGCCCTAGTAGGGCTATGGTGACTTAGCTTTTCAAGAGCAAAGCCCTGAACAAAAAATAACCAGAAAATGAATTCCCTTCCTCAATCCGTTGTTTAATAATACAGTGTAAAATGACAAAAGCTCACGAGAATTAGTCAGCAGGGTTTACACTGCAATAATATGAGAGTCCCTTTTGTGATTTGACCTCATCTAAATTGTTCAGTCTTAGACTTCATGCACAGATGGTAGTTGCCTTTCAGGTCTTGTGATTGCAACATCATTGACTTAGCTGAAATTATGTGTCTGGCTAAATATTTGGGAGGGAGGGAATTAGAAATTCTACATTTCCATTGTGTAAGCAACTCTTGAGTCTTTGTTATGCAGTATATTTTTTTTAAAAAGTTTAATTTGTAAATTTGTCAAATTTGGGTGGAGTATCTGGAACAGAATATAATATCTTCCACTATTTCCTTCTACTTGAATTGTTACACTAATTGTGTCAATTAATCTGTTTAAACAGAATTGCTTTGTAATGCTCTTATAGATGAAAAGTTTCTTTCCCTCAAAGACTTTATTCTTACAAACAGGTCAAATGGCTGGAACAGCAAGTAATTAAGAAAAGGAAAAAGAGAGACATTTACATTGAACCAAATGATCCCAAATTCCCACTGCAGTGGTACCTGGTAAGTAAGTAGTTCTTTGTGTTGTGTCAGTACAGAAAGATGCAGATTCTGCCCCCTCAATCTCCCCAAAAGTTCTTTACTCTGTCCTTCTGATGAAGGCTTCCCATACCTGGAATGATAAGGTAGAGTAAGGGAATGGCATGAGACTTCTAAAGAAAAAGTCCACAAGGGAATAGGAACTGTGGACCAAGTCATTGCGGAAGGATAGTTGAAATGTTTGAGAAAATTGTTTGTTTTAATTTCATTTAGCAAAGGGGGATTTTGGTATGTGAATTTAATGCAAGCCTCAAATCAAGAGAATAAGTGCTGTCAAGAGATTTTGTGGGATATATTTTGTTTGGGAAGAATATCGTTTCTTTGTTAAACATTGCATTAACTATTTTATGCTAAAATTAGAACTGGGTCATTCAGGAATGACGTCAGGCTCACCTCTTTGCACAATATTTTGTGCATAACTGAAGTGATTTTCCCTCCCACCACTCTGGAACATAGGTACATGTCATTTGAAAATTTTAAAGCTGAATGTAATTTTTTTAGACAATCATGTTGACAGTTTTTTGGTTCTAAAGCGTGCAGATGAAGGTTATTCAGAGCACCTTGGTTTAAATGAATGTGGCAGAGGCTCAAGGTGCTGCATTGGTTTCTGCTGTTTGTTTCAAGACCAGAACACAGAAGCACAGCATTTTGTAGCAGTGTTTTGCATTACATTTTGTCCTGAATTGATGAATTTTGAGAGCTTCGGAATCCTAAGAAACGACCACCAGCAACTGCTTCTTGCTCTCCCTAACTTATTACTGTTCATAGGTAATTTTTGGTTCATATATGGATTAGTTTGTCCCCTTCCCATATTTTAATGTGTATTACAAAAATATTTCTACAAATCTTGAACTTGTGAATAGTATTCCTGTTCTCTCAGACTCGAGAAAATACTTGGTTAAGACTGTGATTTTAAGCTCTTGTCAGCCTTACTGTGCATACCACATCTTGGTTCAAAGGCACCTTTTTTTAGGTAAAAACAATACAAGCATCTTGGGCACCAAAGGAGTGTCCTTTTTTCTTTTTTTAGCTCCTGGGCTGTTTTGACAGAAATTTATTTTCATGACTTATAAAATCATGAGGAGCATGGATAGTTCTTTTCCCCAGGGTGGGGAAGTCCAAAAGTAGAGGGCATAGGTTTAAGGTGAGAAGGGAAAGATATAAAAGGGACCTAAGGGGCAACTTTTTCATGCAGAGTAGTGGATGTATGGATTGAACTGTCAGAGGAAGTGGTGGGGACTGGTACAATTACAACATTTAAAAGGCATCTGGATGTGGACATATTGAAGGGTTTACAGGGATGTGGGCCAAATGCTGGCAAATGGGACTAGATCAGTTGAGGATATCTGGTTGGCATGGTCGAGTTGGACCAAAGGGTCTGTTTACATGCTGTACAGCTCTATGACTCAGACATTTTAACGTTCTTAAATAAAATAGAATATCTTTGCTCATTAATTTCATTGAAATTCACAAACTGCGTGAGGTGAATAGTTAATAACAAATGTGGTATTTGCAAGTCATTGTCCCTATAAAATGCCTAGGCAAGTATGAGCCAGATTTAAACACTGGTTAACAATATATTCACTGATCCACCAAGGTAGTAAATGTTGTGCACTTAATTAATTTGCATGTTTGCACATATTTGATATGTTGAGGTATTAACCTGTACCACTTCAAGTAGATAATAAAGCAGCACACTGTACACAAGTGTTTATATTCTAGATGAATCATTGTATCCATATAGCACCTTCATGTGTAAAATATCGTAATGACCTATCTAAAGGAATTTGAGAACTCTTAGAAGTAAATGGGAGCAAAATTAGGCAAGTGGCAAGGTGAAAATGAAAAGGATTTGATACTTTCACATGTTGTCAATATGCAGTCAGGGTTAATTGTCATTCTTTTTGTTTTAAAGTAAATCGGGGCAATTCACTGCTGTGATTGTTTGTTGTCTAGCATAACATGAATCATCATGACTTGAATGTGAAAGAAGCCTGGAAGCAGGGTTACACTGGAAAGGGTGTTGTAGTCTCTATTCTGGATGATGGGATTGAGAAGAATCATCCAGACCTATCTGCTAATTATGTAAGTAGATCTGTTTGTTTTATTCTTGGGTTGCTGTTGGGGACCTAATCTAACAATTGTCACCCAGTATGTATGATAAAGAAATGCTAATTCCCAAGACTCTTGGTCTTCAGAAAATGAAATTGCGTACTGTCTGCCAAAATACTGGGGAAAAGGTATCTCAAAGTCCCACATAGCTTATTTTAACTAGTGCACATTAAACTATTGGGTGACTTATCCACACACAAGCCCAGAGCTAGCTCTCTAGAATTCTGACATCAGGATCCTTTTAACATTTGACAGAGTAACACCCAGGGTGGTGCTCATTGCTGCCGTCCAAGCAACTCAATAAATTGGAGAAGATCCAGTCTGCCCGGGCTACCTGGAATCAAATATTTCAGTTTTAGAATTAATGTGCAATTTCATATTGAAGCAAAATAACTATGTTCAATAAAAATACTCCCTCTTTTCTCTACCTTTTTGATTTGCTTCTCCTCGTTAACATGAAACACTTGAATGATGTATTCTTGACTTATGGAGCTGGGGGATGAAGATACAGAAGAAAGATTGGTTTAAATACCAATGTCTGACTTCAATACCTTTTGCTGTTCTCAACTTGGCTGATGTCACTGGGTTCTAACTAATTTTGACAGTGTGCTAGCAGGAATCAACCAAGATTCAAGTTAGTCATGTTTTATTCTTAGTGATGCATAGGAAAAAGGGAACTGAATCAGTGTTTTTCTTCCTATTCCAGGATCCAGGTGCCAGTTACGACGTGAACAATAACGACCCTGATCCTCAGCCCCGTTACACACAACTCAATGATAATCGGTAGGTCACTTCAGAGAAAGGTCATGGTAAATTTGAGGGTTTTTTTGCAAGGTTTTTGGGTTCCAAATGCTTTCCTGTGAGGACTCTATTGACATACTCCGTTAAACTCCTGATAAAAAATTTTAAAGCAGTTTTGGAAATGTGATAGAAAATCCTGAATAGTTTAGTTGGGCCAAGTAAAGGGAAACTATTTCCAATGGCTGAACAGTCAATAACTAAAGCCTGCATATTTAAATTGATTGGCAAAAGAACCAGAGGTGACATTAACAAAAACATCCTGTTGTCTAACTGGATTATCATCTCAAGCTGTCTGCCTGAAACGCCAATCCACCTGCTGATTGCTCGTCCAGATCAAATCCTGTGTTGGTGTCAGTCTGATTTAAGACTCGCTATCTAGCCAACTGAACTTTATATAATGATGATAGAGGTTTCTATTTGCTTATTGTGAACCTGGAACCCCTCATCCTCCTACTGCTTGCCATTGGTGTGTGTTGGAAACATTTGCAATATCATCTGCACCCTGTTTGGCTATGATATGAATGTACTTCTTTGGTCACCAAGCCTTGGAGTAGGACTTGAACCCAGCTCATGCAGGGAGACTACCCACTTTTCCACATGACCAGGTGGATGCAGATTTGATAATAATACAAAAACAAATGTTCAGGGGAGATAAAATTGCCATGACCAGAGGAAAGCAGGGGAGTAGGACTAACTAGTTATTTTGACAAATTACGTAGATTTGGCCTGAGTGGCTGCTTTTAAATGTTTGCTATTCATGAAGAGGAAAAAAATTTCATCTACTTCATAGTTTTATAAGATGTTTCACAGAAGATGGCCATTCAGCTCATCCAGCCTGTGCAAGTCAACAAAGATCTATTTACACAAATCCTGTTTTCCTGTGGTAACACAAGTAAATATCTAAACACTGCTTAAATGTTAGGAATGTCTCTGACTTAACCACCCTTTCAGGCAGTGAGATCCAGATTACCACCACCCTCTGGGTGAAAAAAATATCCTCAAACCTTCTCTTGGCTTTCTTACCTTAAATCTATGCCTCTGGTATTGACTCATCTGCTAATGGATAAAGTGCCTTCCTATCCACCCTTGTGGCTCCATATAATTTTACACACTATCTCTGTGTCCCGAACTTAAGAACCCTGAGGCCGATGGTAAGGAAGAAAAAAGTGATTTTATCTTTCAGAGTCTGTGCTGAAGACCTAATCATCTGGTGCTTAATGGCAGCTTAAAAACACAATTAGGACATGAGGGCATTTCTGATGCAGTAAAACAAACTGACTTCTGGAAAGAAAGCTCATGATTTGTCTTGAATCTTGTTGGTACATGTTTAGAATAACATTACTATTTGGCAGTAATGAATTAATGTTGTAGCCAAAATTCTTTTACTTCCATTTCTGTCACAATGAAAAACACTAAAATAGAGTTTTGCCTGGAAGGATTATTTGAGTAATGCTGAATTGCTGGTGATTGTAAGTTTCCATCGCTGGTAGTTGGAGATTTGATTGTGTACCGATCTCTTGTTACAACTAAGTAGCAGAGGAATTCATACCTAGTTATGGAAAAAGCTTCACTGCCAGGTCTGTGTTAAGTGTTTTATTGATTCTAACTCTGAAGGAATCCATTAAGCTGTTTGATGTTTCGGTCAATGTCACCTGAGTAAGTAAATTTTTTGGAGTTGAGAATGACGGGAATTGAGGATGATGTGAAAATGTGTTACTAAAAAATGTGCTTGTACAACAATTCAAACAAACCAGGTTGTGGAATTCTCATGGTTGCTGTTTCTTTACAGGCATGGAACACGGTGTGCTGGTGAGGTGGCAGCTGTAGCCAACAATGGGATTTGTGGTGTGGGGGTGGCATATAATGCCAGAATCGGGGGTATGTATCAACTGGTATTTCCTCAATTCCACCCCATTTCTTGTCACTGCTGAATGCACCTATTCTTGATGTTCTGTGGTTCTGATAATGTTGAAAACCCAGTTGTACATTTCATAACAAATGTTGTCAGACGATTTGTTCACCATCCCAGCAGTCAGATGCAAGAACCTTTGATGAATTGTATTTTGCAAAAATTTGCCAACCCCAGTCTAGCTGGAAGCCAATGAGATCAAAGATAGTGACCAAAAGTCCTGGTGAGATCCAGTGGTCAGGACATTTCTTGGTCTGTGCATCTCTACTATGGGGCAGTATGTTTACCTGTTAAGACTTTATAAACTTGTCCTATTAGATGACTTTCTTTGTTAAGGTAATTACCTCAGCTAAAAGTGGAGCTGATAGGTGGAGCATTAAGATTACTTCCATTTTTACAAGAAGTGCAGTGGATAAATTGGTGTTTGTAACTCTTGTCTCCCTCCTCCCATATTCCACCACCACTCCCTCTATTAATGTTGCTTGTCTGACGTGTTATTCCCCAAGCTTTATATGAAGTTTATTTATAGACTGTCTTGCTTGCGATTCATCTTGGAAGATAAGTGGCGATCATCTGTGGACCATAGATCATAGAATCCCTACAGTGTGGAAATAGGCCCTTTGGCCCAACAAGTCCACACCGAACCTCAGACCATTGCACCCAGGCCCACCCGATATAATCTACTTAATCTACACGTTCCTAAACACTACAGGTAATTTAGCACAGCCAATCCGCCTAGCATGCACATCTTTGGACTGTGGGAGGAAACCCACGCAGACACGGGGAGAATGTGCAAACTCCACACAGATAGTTGCCCAAGGGTGGAATTGAAGCTGGATCCCTGGCACTGTGAGGCAGCAGTGCTAACCACTGAGCCATCGTCCCAAAGCAACAAACCATTTTTTTAGGACAAACCTGTTTTGAGCCCTTGTGCAGTAAATTTCACACCCAAGCTATGCTGCGTGGAAATATTGAGCCAGAGTAATGGCTTGCAAAAGTCCTGTGTGAGTAGGGTGGGTGGTCATTTCCCTGAAGAAAAGGGAGTAAATATTGGGCAGAGGAAAAACATAAGAACTAGGAGCAGGAGTTGGCAATTCATCCCCTTGAGCCTACTGCGCCATTCACTGCGGTTATGGCTGATCTCATCTTGGTCTCAGCTCCACTTGCCTGCCCACTCCCATAACTTTGAACCCATTACTAATTAAAAATCTATCTATCTCTTCCTCAAACGTCTGAATGTCCCAGTATTCACCACACTCTCTGGAGTATTGAATTCCACATTTCAGGACCCTTTTGATTAGAATAAATTTCTCCTCATCTATTTTTAAATCTGCTACCCTTTATGGGAAACCCCTCGTTTTGGATTACTCCACAAGAGAAAATGTCCTTTCCACATCTACTGTCAATTCCCTTAGCATCTTGTATATCTCAATTAAATATCCTCTCATTCTTCTAAACTTTAGAGAGCACAAGCCTAGACTGCTCATCTCTCATCATACAACAAACTCTTCATTTCTGGAATCAATCTGAACTGCCTCCAATCTCTCTCGCGCTCTCTCTCGCGCTCTCTCTCGCGCTCTCTCTCGCTCTCACGTGCTCGCTGTTGCTCGTACTCTTGCGCTCTCGCACTTCCGCTCTCACGCGCTCTCGCTCTCTTGCGCGCTCTCACTCTTTCTCTCACACTCTCACTCGTGCTCTTGCTCTCTCTCTCTCGGGCACTCGCTCGTGCTCTCGCTCGCTCTCTCGCTTTCTCTCTTTTGCTCTCTCTCTCTTGCGCGCTGTCTCTATCGCGCTGTCTCTTGCTCTCGTGTGCTCGCTGTCGCTCTCTCTCTCGCGCGCGC